ATGCCCATCCCTACAGTTATACCTATATGAAGTCCATCCCTACTTAAACCTATACAATGCCCATCCCTACAGTTATACCTATATGAAGTTCATCCCTACTTAAACCTATACAATGCCCATCCCTACAGTTATACCTAGACGATGCCCATCCCTACTTATACATATTTCATGCCCATCTCTACTTATACCTATATTGTCTAGGATCATCTGATGTAATTTCTTGTGATGATGCACACCATTCAACCCCTTTTTTTCTTTCTGGACCCTTTAAAGACATTCTTGCTTCCAAATTCTCAGAAATGTTGTATGGTGAATATAATGGACATCCGTAGAATTTAACACTAAAACAATTTAGTAGTATTTTTGCTCAGTTGCTGGTATTTTGAACAATTAAATAGATTTTAACCAATAGGTCTGAACCAATAATTAGAATATTTCTACCATGGCGGAATAGAATAAATAAAAAAACAATTTGATATCATTGTAATGAATTAATGGTAGTTACCTGTTGATAGATATTGCTTTAAGTGTTGGAGTAGCATCATTAGTTTCTACCACAACAAGTCGAATACTTCGAGCAACAATGCTCTAAATAAAGACATTAGTTTCTACCACAACAAGTCGAATACTTCGAGCAACAATGCTCTAAATAAAGACATTAGTTTCTACCACAACAAGTCGAATACTTCGAGCAACAATGCTCTAAATAAAGACATTAGTTTCTACCACAACAAGTCGAATACTTCGAGCAACAATGCTCTAAATAAAGACATTAGTTTCTACCACAACAAGTCGAATACTTCGAGCAACAATGCTCTAAATAAAGACATTAGTTTCTACCACAACAAGTCGAATACTTCGAGCAACAATGCTCTAAATAAAGACATTAGTTTCTACCACAACAAGTCGAATACTTCGAGCAACAATGCTCTAAATAAAGACATTAGTTTCTACCACAACAAGTCGAATACTTCGAGCAACAATGCTCTAAATAAAGACATTAGTTTCTACCACAACAAGTCGAATACTTCGAGCAACAATGCTCTAAATAAAGACATTAGTTTCTACCACAACAAGTCGAATACTTCGAGCAACAATGCTCTAAATAAAGACATTAGTTTCTACCACAACAAGTCGAATACTTCGAGCAACAATGCTCTAAATAAAGACATTAGTTTCTACCACAACAAGNCCCTTACGCTGAGTATCCTCCCTTTCCCTTATACTCCCTCACCTCCTCCTTACCTTTTTCCTGATTTATCATCATTCTTATGTTTAAAATGTACAATGTACATTGTTTTTATCTGCAATTCTCATTCGTTTATAGTAGGCCAACCAATTAAAACAACCTACTCTGGTCCAAACTACATAGTAAATTGTGATTTTTTTATTTTTATTATCTCGTGCTTTGTAGTTGAATAAAAATATGAAAAAATATGATACATGAATACCTCTTTAATCAACAACTTCTTGTCATAGCGGATGATTGCAGTTTCGCCTTTCATGAATGTATTTGTGTTTTTAGAAGTATCAATTCTTATCTGAAATATTTGAAGTTTTATCTATTTTTGTTCCTTTAAAATATGAAGTTACGAACCTTTGAAGGTCCTCGAGAAGTTTGAGGAAACCCAAGGAAAATCCTTGTTATCCTCATAATTGTTCTAAAATCTATCTGTACATATATCTCCCATCTAAACAAAAAATATAGAAAAAAAGCCTTATCTGAAGAAAAGATTATGAGTTAAAATAATGAAGTACGTATTCGTCAAAGGTTCTTTCCAAATGACCCTCCATGTAAAGATGGCATTCCCCTCAATGATATCCTATGGTATGAGTTAGATATCCATGTTTTGTTTCTTTGAACTGTTAATTTTCTTTGCGGCTTCTCTGCAAAAATGATTGACTTACACATCTGCTTATAAGAATCAATGGACAAATTTTAAGAACTGAATACTTTTCGTGTGAGGACAACAATGGTATTTTTAACATTTTTGAACAGATTAAGGTTTCAAGAGTATCGTTGTCGTGATAAGAGCATTGTCGTCTTTGCAAAGAGGGTAACTTGAGATTACGCTTACAGTCCTTTTAAAATTAGTTTTTCTATTACTTCGGTCCTGTTCTGATTGGTGCAGACCAAGCAAGGGTTTCACTTAATATATTAGCAGCAGCATGCTCCGGAGCTGAAGATAGAACCATATTGCTTTGAATTTGACAATCTGGATAAGGTATTAAGATTTGTCTCTCACAAACTGAAAAATATAAAATAAATCTGAAATATTCAGTTTTAGGATTTATAAGAGTCTGAGCTGAAACTTTATATGATTGTGGATGTCCATTTCAATGCTTGATTTCCTTTTTAGCTAATCTTAAGATTCTTAAATCATTTAGTTTTTATCCAGGAAAGTATCTAAAATTCAACCAATCATGGTGGCGTATGCAGAATCCCAAAAAGCCAATCAGAAGTCGGGAATTTAAATATTTCGCGCCATTTAATGAGAGAGCTCTCATTGGACGATATCCGGTATGGATATCAAAAAAGAGGGGAAAAGAGTGGATTAAGCATAAATCAAAAATGTCCACAGTGGATATTATTCATCAATTGTTATTAAGGCTATCCCATTCAAAAGGTTTCAGCTCTGGTCAGTGTGTCTCACTTGGCTTCTCATAAAGAGGAATATCCAATCTATGGCCTACTGAGCAAGATGTTTTTGAAGTTGGATAACCGTCTATTTGGGGTATTAAGCAGCTTGTTGTCACAAACATTGAAGAAGTCTTAAAATAGAATAATAAATTAAAGGGACTGTGAGTGTAATTTTAAGCGATCCTCAATGCAAAGTTGCATTAATCAATATTGAGGAAAATACTGTCGTTTTCAAAGCTTTAAAGTTCATTTCATTATATTTTCCTACTGCAGAAATGCGCAAGTCGCATTTGTAGAAAAGCCACAGTTAAAATTAATCAGTTTTAAAAATTAAAAACAATCTTATTCATACTTGATCAGACACAGCTATAAGGGATACAATTCAGTTTTCTCAATCCCAACACTATTTCTTGCCCCAAACTACAAAAAAATATACCCCCAATTTTTAAAAATGCCCCCAATTAAAACAAAAAAATATTTCAAATTCCACTAATTCATTTGCCCCCAACTGTAAAAAAATGCCTCCAATTAAAAAAAACATTTTCTAATACCACTAACATATTTCCCCCCATTTGGAAAAAAATGCCCCCAATTAAAAAAAACATTTTCAAATTCTCTTTACACATTTGCCTCTGATAATCTTAAAATTGCCCCAAAATATTTCAACTTGCCCACAATTTTACTCTGATTGACCCTGATATTTATAAAATTGCCTCCAGAAAATATAAAGTTGCCTCCATTAACAAATGCCCCAAACATGAAAAAATGCCCCTTTTCCCTCAAATTTGCCCATAAAAAAATTTAATTTGCATCCGGTAAAAACAAATTTTGCCCCTATTTTTAATAAATTATCATATTAAAACAATTTGCCCCCATTTTAAAAATCTGCCCCCATTTTTTTCAAATTTGTCAATTCCAAGTGGGATTGAGAAGGAATTATATAGACCCCTGAAACAATTGCCAATCAGGCATTGTCATCTTTGCATGAAGGGTCACAATTGAACTTACACTTACGGTTCCTTTCTGATTTCATCGATCACCTCTAGCTTAAGAGAACCATATCCTGACTCTAATTGATCAATGGTCAATCTGGTATAATTAGATTTGATGCTTGATAAATCAATTCTTGAGTATCGATCAACAATAAACCTAAAAGGAACAGTTTTTTGTGCTAAGTACTTTTCGAAGAAATGATATAAACAGTTAGCTAAAGACAAGGATTAATAAAGGACAGGATGAACAATTGTCTAAGGTAGACAACACATGTAACTCTTCTCTATATATAAACATACACAATCCATGTCTATTTGTTTGTAACCAATAAACGTGAAAATGGCTGAAATACCAGGGCCAAATTTTTTATGGGGACCATATGGTCAGAAATGAAAAAAATTCCCTACAAAATCCAGGTTAATAAATTTACCCCGCGACTTTTTGTTAGTTTTTGTTGATAATTTAGCATTAATATAAATAGAGCAACCATTAAATGGTTAACACCGAAGTGCCATGGAATCCTAGTATTTAAAAAAACACTTGAATTTCAATAATGCCAGCATTTTAACTAGGTCAGTCCAAAACCATAGAAAAAAAATATCCATATGTTTTCCTTTCTATTTAATACATAATGAAGCATTTGCAAACAAAAAGGAGTTCTTGGGGTCTGGAAATTTTCAGATCAAAAGAAAAACGTTATTTAAGAGTTCAGAAATGAAATAAGTAAACAAATACTATCCCATTCTCTATGTATATACACAACACACTGGAACTTCAACAGAGTGGTGCTCAGCCATTTTTAAATTTCTTATTTGGGAAATGATGAAGAAAATAAGTAAAGGTTAAAAAAGTACCTCTTATATGGAACAAGTTTACCTTACTGTGACAGGGTATCCCTCGCCTCTAGATGAATTGCTATGGTATATTAATGTTGACACAGGCAATATGGCACTATAGCATAGCAGCAATGATTATTCCATTTAACTCCAAGCTAGAAGCAATGACTAAAATACTGAAGTTACAATAATTTTTGAATGAAAGAAAATTTTTAAATTGTTCATACAAACTAAGGAAATGGGTCATTCATGCAAAAACGATGAACCAACAAAATGAAAAAAAGCGAAATTCGCCCATCTCTACTTGAGAGAGGTATAAGGAAAGAGTTTTACTTATTTAAATGGACTTTCATCAAATCTGGCCTTTAAAAGATGTTTGGCTCATATAAACTTTGAAACTTATATAGTTATTTAAGGTACATCAAATGATGTATGTTGAATACGAAATAATAAAAATGACAAATGGATAAGAAAAAATCTTTGTTGAATGCACTTGTGAGGGTATGTATCAATATTTGAGTAGTTGACTATTTTCATGTCAACTTCAAGAAAGGGTCGCTCTGTAGTTTTGCGTTCTTGTACACTGCTATTTCTTATTGTAGATACAGGAACAGAACCTAAAATGCAAATCAAATTGAAATTGTTGTAAACTTATGCATAATAAGGGTGATTGATTTATGAATTTTTTTAGAGATCAGCCAACCCCCCATTGGAGGTCAGTACATTATATCACTAACAAAATATTGCAACCAAAAACTTTTTTTAATCGTCCAGACGGTTGCAAATTGGCCTCCCCAGAAAATATTTAAAAAATAAAATGTATGCATGAATTTTATTAAAAAGTTTATGCAAATTTCAGATTCGAAACCCATTAAAAACATTATTAAATATCAAAGAAAGTTAAGCACAATAACGGCCCAAAAATCTGTTTGAAGAAACAACTTTTCAAAGTTGTTGTCTAGTTTTCTAGCTCTAACTCATGTATAACATAAATTTTTTAGGGGCTTTAGCTGATTTCTCCGATATTCAATTGTCAATTAGCAAATATATAGACAATTTAGATTTGTTATCACATTTTTTTTATAATGAAAGTCAAGCGACTTATGCCAGGCGGTTGTCTCAATTCCTGCACTTATCACTCTTAGAGCACAATTATTTACACCACAGTTTTGATAATCGTTTTCGAATAACGAAAAGACAGTTAGATAAAGAAATAAAAAATTAAAGAGGAACCAAAAAGTTTTTTTTTTCATTTCCTCTGCTGAAAAAAATGACTTTTTCAACTTACATTTTAAAACAAACTCTCCCAAATAAGCGACTATATCGATATTTGTGGTAATTCCATTCAAAATAAGAGGATGATCAGTTAGTTCAATCTGAAAGATTTGATGTTAAAGAATTAAATATCTTTTTCTGAACTAAATTGGACCTGAAGTTGAAAGTTGACTTCTCCAAAATGACTTTGGTATCCAAACCAATTTCTTAAAAACATAATTCTTAAAGTAAATAAAAATAATGATAATCCTATGACATACCTTTGAGCTGCAGTGTTTGTCATATATCCAAAATCAATGAACAGTCTATCTTTTTGTGCAAAAGTTGAAAGTTTTTCCGACTTGTAAAATGTTGTGTTGTAGTTACTCCTGATATCGATAAAGTCATTCACACCCAAAGCATTAAGGAACAGAGCCTTAATTAAATATTTTCACAAATCTCCTATACTCTTTCTTAAAGGGAGTGACCGGCTGGAGCCAAAAGTGCAGTTTTGTATTTAAAATTTTCCAGGACTGTCATTTTGGAGGCTTGCTTTTTAAAAAATTGACTTTTTATAAATTATTTAACAACGACACTGAAAAATGCAACAACAATTCTACAGTACACCAATAGGATAAGGTTGAGAAACAATATACTCTCGATATTTATAATAACTCATTTTCAATATTCTCAGTGAATGCAATTTTTTCCTCTGTCATTGACTTCCTGAGCATTTCAATGAAAAGAAGACATTTATATAAATCCTCCAATAAATTTATAGAGTACATAATGATGTAAAATTAAACTGAGTGACTCTTGGCTATCATCGATAATTTCTATTAAAAAATATGTGTCTATAATGCCATTAGTTTAATGTTTAATACATATTTCCTTGTCATTATTAAATAATTTGAAAAAGATTAATTCTTTAAAGCAAACCTCCAAAATGGACAGTCTGTGAGAAATTTAAAGATTGAATCTGCGCTCTCATACAGCAGAAAAGCATTTTATATGGTCTCAAATGAATTTGAACACTGCACTCGCAGCTCAACTCCCATGTCTACTGTCTGGCCAGTGACTTCCATTTTAACCCTATCCCTGCAAGGGTGCTTGAAAACCAGGATATGCTGGGGTTGGGTCAATTTGACCCCTTTAAATCCCATGTTTAATGTCCAAATTTGACAAATAATACATCATTAGGTAGCTCTTATGCTGAACTTTTAGAATCTTCAAAAAAGTTTGCAAACATGTTTTTGCAACATCCAGTTATAAAGTAAAAATGGTTGCAAAAAATTATGTAAAAAAATTGATAACTTATACATTTTTGAAAAGCCATTTTTTTTGCAAAATGGTTGTATGCTAATAGCAATAATTTCTTTGCAAAACTTGTGTAGTCAATTTCCCTATGTCATAGGCTTTCCAAAAACATTAAAATTATCAAAATCTGACATCTGAAAGTTGGTCAAAACAAAGGTTTAGTTTGTTACTGAAAAAACTAGTCATTCAGGCAGTGTGCCAGAGGACTCAAGTAGTCAGTATAAAAGCCCGGTTTTAGACTTAATGGGATAGCTATGGGTATTTCTGAAAAGTCAGAAAATTTTAACAGCCTCAGACCAAACTTTTGAGTTATGTAAAAAAAACTACAGGGGGGGGGCAGCAGGGATAGGGTTAATGTATACTGCATGGTATCTGTATATTTATGAATCAAATATAAATAAAGAAGAATTAAATATACCTCATTATTGTTATTAGCAAATTGAATATCATTCAGATGAATTAAAGTCCTGTTTAAACTAGTTTCTGACATGACTGATAGCTAAAAATACAAAGTTTTTAAATGAAGGCCAAATGCTGCCAAATTCAAAAGTAAAAGTACTTACATTGAATAATAAAGTTGAATCTAAAGGCAAGGACAAAGTAAAGTTTATCCATGATCGTTCTTTAATCATAAGTTGTATTGGTGATAGTTGGGTGCCTGATACAAGAAGAATAAACATGTAAAAGCAAAGTTTTCTACAGGGTGTTCCAATAAGCATGGGAATTGAGAGACAACTTGAAAGTCGTCTTAGGAGCCTTTCATAAAATGTTCTACCTTTTTTGTGTCTTAAAAATTGACAAAGATATTAGATATTAAGACAATTCTAATTTATTAAATAAATTGAACTTTGTCAAATTTTACAATATCTCAGTCAATTTTGACAATACAAAAATGGTAGTCCACATTTTAAAAAATTCAAGACTAGGCGCTTTTGATATTAGATGTACTAAATACTGCAATAATTGTGTTTATGAAAAAATTCTGCATGGATCGAAGACGATATAAAAGTTGTCACTTAATATTTTTTGGGATACCCTGTATCTTGTGGATGCTTACAGTTAAGAGAAGGTTGATCAAGGGATGCATACACATTTCTATCATATTTTGATATTTTTGATGAAAAATCATGAACAGAGTGGTCAAAATCTACAACCTAAAACATGAAGGGTATTTTATCATGAAAACATATACTGTTGACTACTACAACCACAAATTATTGAGCAGTGGTGTGAGGAATGTTATGGGAGAAACTATACAGCCATTATTGGCTTTAAACTGTTGTAACATCTTTTATAGGCATTAGTAATCTTTTTTCAAATTTGTTTTAATTTTATTATTTGCAAGAAAATGTGTTCTCAAGTTTTTCTTTCTTGGTATTTTTTTCAATTAAAATTTGGAGGCTCTCATCTTTTTAGAATAAAGCCAATTAAGGTCTCGTGGGTTAAGTGAAGTCAAATCTGAGTGCTTTCAAATAGAGATATTTTTTCTGCATAAAGGGACTAAAAGCTTAATCTCATGTAACCCTACAGGTGCAAAGATGGTAACACAATTTACAATGGTACCCTTGAAACTTTTATCTTATCAATTTGAAGATATTAATGTTTTTCCAGGATGAAATGTGTAAAACTAGCTGTTAATTCATAAATGATTCATGCAGTATAAATGCACATGTCTTTTCTGTAGAAAAACAAAAGTTGAAAATAAATATTTTTTGGATTTCAGAAAATTCATCCATGATCAGTCAAAACTTTAAGGGTCCCATTATGAATCGGATATTGCCCTATCTGCATGGAAGGTCAGTTAGAATTAGACTTACAGCAACTTTAATATTTTGCTTACCGTCAAATTAAACATGACATCTTTATGTGAACTAATGCAGGATGGAGGTGGTTGATCATAAACAAGATAATCCAATTTGCAAAGAGACATTTTGAATGGGATAACTGTACCATTGGGTACACGGTCGGGAACACGAATAGAAACTTCAAGTTCAACCTGGATAAAATTCCAATACACTTTTAAATAACATCAAAGAGAGTATATCATTATATTTCCAACGGGACCTGAATTTTAACCAGTTGTAAAAAAGACTTTATAGGAAAAGTAAAGCGTGGCCATGTATTTTCTACTTTTAATTGGTCAAGTGATTGGGGCGTTCTAGAATAATGTCAAAAAAGGTTGGAAAAATTCAAAAAAGTCAAATTTTGTTTTTAAATAATGAACATACTTTCGCTTCCAATTTTCAAAGACATCTCCAAAAATGTATTTTATAGATCCATAGCTTTCAAAGCAAATAAGTTATAAATAATTTAAAATTTTATTTTAAACCATCCTGACTTTTTACCTTCCTTTAGCAATAAAAAAATAATTTGCAAAGAACAAATAAGTAAAAAAATGCTAGAAGGCAAAAAAAGGGGGGTCAAACAGGACAGATTGCTTAAGAAAAAAACGGGACAGTAGATTTTATTTCCCAGGGGGGTATCAGATGACCCCAGGCTAAGAAGTAAGAACTAACCTGATCATCAATTGGGTTATTAATATATTTATAGTACTGAAGCTTCATTTCCCTCATGTAGGTAGTTCTCCAAAACTCTTTGGTGCTTGGTTAAAATATGATACAGTTTAACCCAAAAACTTTGGAGATATCGAAAGAATTTATGTAATGTCATCTTGACAACTTTTCAATGTACTTTTATACCTAAATCTGAGTAATTGTAAAATAAAAAAATACCAATGAAATATGCGGGAACAGTTTAAAGAGCTTTATATAATTATTTAATTAAAAACAAAATATCTTCAGCATTCCATTTGTAGTTTAGAAAACAACATTATATACATTTTTTCCATTTTCCAAAGTTCTGGGTTATATTGAATCATAACTGTTTTTTTTAGCTCGATCAATATTGAAATGATTATTTTCAATTTAATTAGTTTAATCGTTATTTTTTAGCTGAAAAGTATAACTTGGCACAAATTTAACATTTCAAAAACTATTTTTATTAAGAATTTGAAAACAATGCTGCCCCTTACTCTTCAAGGTTTTCTTTGTTCTTTTATTTCAAGTAAGAGAGTAAAAATTTAATTTAAATAACATTAAAACCTATTAACTGAAAACTAAAAGACAAGTAAAAACTATGAAAGAAAATGGGTTTCTTTCTATTCCACAATCTCAAATTCTCTATTCCCCGAGAGCTTGCAACATGATGGTGCAAACCTTTGATATTTCAAACTCACTTGATCTAACAAAACTTATAGTTTTAAACGTCCAAGGTCTACAACATTGGGTTGCAAGGATAAGGACTCAATTCAATGTAAATTCTAAAACCGTTTTCTAAATCATATAAATTTTACCCTGCATCGTCAGTTTTAAAACATGATTTACTGGGAGTATCAACACAAGTTTTGTATGGACCAGACGTTGATGCATTGTAACAAGGAAAGTTTTCTCCAGTCTAAAATGAATATGTCCCTAAATTTTATAAAAAAAATATCTATTTTAGTTTCCACATCCTCCTCTCTGAAAATCATTTTTCAAGTATTCTACTTTAATTCAGGTCTCTTGTAATTTTATTCTTCTTAGCATAATATTTGATTAAAGCTTGAAAGGATCAAATTTGATCAATATATCTAAAAATACTAAGTTTTCACAATTGTTCATGTATTAAATATATTCTAATATATGTAAAGCAGTTTAGCCAAACTAGGCTTCAGGGTGCTTCAAGTCCCTTTTCTATTAACAATTTAAATTTTGCTTTCTGATATTTTATGTCTTTTGGTCCCTAACCTTCCTTAGGCATAAGTGACAAAGTGGAAACTAAGGTGTGCAGTGAACTCTCTAACGCACAGAAAGAGAAGTATTTTGTAGGGTTTCCAAACAGAATTCCGTTCTCGTATTGCGCGGAATTATGCGGAATAGCTTGGAAATTACAGGTTACACAATTGCGTGCAAGTAAAATCCACCTGAATTGGAAACCCTGGATAAGTTATTAAGTTATGTTTACACCTAAAACTGTGTATTAGTTAGTTAATGAGGTAAAACCAAAGGTCAAGGCATTGTTACACTTTAAATATGAGGTAGTTTGAACATCAAATATATATATACAATATGAAGAGCCCGGCATTGCCCATGGAAATAAAAAAAATCGATTATGAAGAAAATTCTATGAAAAAAATTTAAATTATATTTGCCTATATTGCCCCCGGCCCAGGGAACCCAAAACTTTCCTCAACATAAGACCAAAGCTCTTTATTATGTAGATATATAAAATTTTACCTTAAAGGTGTAGAATCCACACCAAGTTACAAAGATACCATCATCAAATCCTAGGTTTTCAATTGAAGGCCAAATATTTATAGATCTGAAAGGACTGAACCTTATGGAAATTCTTTTGCAGGTTCCTTTAACAATAACATCCGTGTTATCTGAAGGTAGAACTGAAATGTTGAAGGAGAAGTTTGTGTTCCATTCCTGAACAAAATATATGTTTTAACAAATATTCACAGAAAAAGATTTTAATTTAGTAAATTTCTAAATCTGTCCAGAAACATGAAATCTTTGTAAAGGTTTGGTGGAGTTAAAATTGTACAATTGTAAAATTGAGAAAGGAATTATTTACATTAAAGGGATTGGAATTAAGTGTAATTTCATGTGACTTTTCATGCAAACATGGCAATGCCCGATTTAACCTTGAAATCTTTATCTGAATAATAATGTGGAAGATATCGCCATATTTCTAGGGTTAAAAGTGTTTATTTCTGATTAATTCTATTTGTTTTTCTGCAGCATTGAAAAGCGCAAGTCCTCTTTTTATAGAGAAACCACAATCAAAAATAATCAGTTTTTTATAATTATATACTTTGATATCTAATTCATCATCTTCGTCATCTTTACATGGAGGGTCACTTTAGATTGAGTTTAACGTTACTTTTAACCCCCTTTGGTCTTCAACCCTTGAGCAAGAAAAGGGGTTTATGTTTTTCTTTTTAAATTTATTTTTCTTATTTTTAAGTTTAAGTTCTTAATTTTAATTAAACTGGGTTTTGCCACAAACTCAAATTTTCTCAACCCTTTATCTTTGCAACCTGATGGTGTAAACCTTTGACTTTTCAAAATTGGAATATTTGATATTACAGAATTCATAGTTTGAAATAACAAGGGTCTATGCCATTCATGCCTTCAAATATATATCTTGAACTTATTGTCATTTTCCATGCTGGACTAACAACTATTTACTCAATATTTTTACATTTTGCACCAAACAAATAAAATGTACATGTATTAAGCAAAACGTCAAGCTGTATTGTAAAATAGAACGTCCAGATAGCAGACTCGAAAGTTTTAGGTAAATAAAATTGAAACATTAATTCATTTACAAAATTTTGAATTTTTGTTTCATAAGCGCTTCATAGATTATATCACTCCTGAAAAATCAAAATAAAATGAAATTGTGAACAATGTCCAATTTGAATTCACATAAAAAAGCTGGAAAATCTGTATTAGGCAAAATTACCTCTTTAGTTCCAACTTGAATTTTAATCCTATCCCTCCAGGTCAGAACTGTGTCAAATCATTTACTAATTTAACAATTCATAAGCAGAATATATATATAAATTTGGCTTGTCTGGGTGTTTGTTTATGTCCAATAAACGTCAAAACGGCTGAACTGATCTGGCCCAAATTTTTTGTGGGATCTTGTGTGACCCCAGGGAAGGTTTATGAATGATAAAAAAAAAAAAAATTGTGTTTAAAGGTTTTTTTGCTTGTAAAGTTTCGAAAATGTGTGAGAGATGCTCAGAAATAAAGCCACACAGTTAAAAGTTGAAATAGAAGATGGGCGCGAAGCGCCCTAAAAGCTTTGTATTAATATATAGGGCAAGGCAATATTCTGTTAAACTGTATTACAGAACAATTTATTCATAGCTTAAAAAATTAAAATCTAAACATGCCCAGATCTATTAGTAGCCCATTAAATTAACAAATCTTCCCTCTTGGTATACTTTGCCCATTTAGATGTGCAATTTGATTTGAGAGATTGAAGCTGGTTAGCTGGGACAGGTCAGTGTCCAAAAATATTCCTATCTCTATGGTGTCAACATCTCTAATATCATTGATATCATCCTGAGATGAAGTGCCTAGACAATAAATACTCCATTAATCAAAAAGCAGACTTACCATACAAGTATGTGTTGTTTTTAAGCTTACACAAAATTAAATAACACATAACAAATAACAAGAATCAATAACTTCTCTAATTTTTGGCCACTTTTTCAAGTAAATAATTAAAACATTTCATATGGTTTCAAATATATAGGCATTTTTTCACATAATAAAGATTTAATTTCTTTTCCAAAACAGTGTTATGTTGACTCTGCAGTGTGTTTGTTTTGTAAACAAGCAAAAATTTTGAGACTAAACAAAGTTTTTTTGTGAAGGATAATGATAAAGCTATTTTTGGTGTTAACCATGCAATATCTGCATACCCCAGTTTGACAGTTTCTCAAAGTAGATTGTGGCTTCCTCGGTAGAATCATTTTTTAAATAAGTATATTTTGTAGAGTTTTGTTTCGAATAGATTCCAAATGTAGATTGCTGAACACATGGCATATTTTCTCCAACATGAAAAATCTTTATTTTGCAGATTCTAGGACCACCACTGTCCTTGTCTAAAACATTTTTTATATTTAATTATTTATTTGTTTAAGACAAATTGAGTTATTCTTTGGCCTTTGTATTCAGAAAAGAAAATTACAATATATTAATTTCATATTTCAAATTTTTATTTTTCAGCTTCAGCTAGTATATATATATGAGCAAAGAGATTTATTAAATTGATGGTTTATTCTAATTAATCACCTATTGTTGTAGTTAATTTCAGCGGTGTTTGTGTGTATTGGCGTAACTTTATCTTAAAAGTTATTAATCCAATACTCCCTTGTGATAAGCCAATTGCTTTTGAGTTGTCTCTCTTAACAAGTGGGTTTAAAAAATATCCATAAAATAGGTTTTCATGCTGCTGGACTAAATAAACATTTTAATTTATTGTTTGCTTTAACACAACACTTTTGTGCTTCTTACTATTTTCAAGTTAAATTATTCATTTTTTAAACGTACTCGTACACAATTTAAACAATTGCATTGGTACAATTTGAAAGACATGAAAAATTGAAAAGATTAATATCAAAATAAATACAAATATTAGAAAAACTTAGAAAACTCATAACTAAAGTTGCCTTTGGGAAAAGGCCTTTGGGAAAATACCAAACACTGATATTTCAAACTTAAATTATTTGATGTAACAGAATTCAAAGTTTGATTTATCTAAAGTTTGGTTGCAAGGATATTAGAATATCAAAGTTTCTTACAAAGACTAAATTCCTTTGTGAATGCAAAGTGTGGGATTTTATTATTATTTGAATTAATTTTAAAATAGATTACCGTCCTGCATGCATAATATAAAATTGTAATCAGGAGGTCCAACTTTGAAATAAAACCGCATACCATCTGCTTCTTTGAAATCATAATAAAAGTTGGAAACAGAGATGAAAACAGTTGCCTGAAACACAAATTGTAATAGTATAATTGACATTTTATTATACTTCAAACAAAAATAAATTTAACGTAAAATTTAACTCTTATATGTTTTCATTTGTAACTCATGATTTTGAAGAGTTATCAAGAAGAGCAAGCATGTTTTGAATTTCTAAAATTTTAGCGGATAAATTTTCTTCTCTTTTAATTGCGGGTAAAATCAAAACTAAAAGAGCTAGAAGATCACAAATTTGGACCAGTTATGTTGTTTATCAGTTTGCAAATAAATAAAGAATACAAAATTAGATTTTTTTCAAGTAATTAGAGATGTAAGTCAGATCCAGACAAATTGTTTGAAAAATAAAATGTCTTACATTATTTTCAAAATCGTCAATTGATGTATCTGTGGGAAGTGAGTTAAATGTTTCGTTTAAACCTATTTTAAATCTTTTCCCCGTATTCTTCCATGTAAATATAGGATCTCCATTCATATCTCGGGTTGCTATGCCTGAAAAAAAAAACAATTATTAAATATGTTTTATTAGAAAGGATCTTCTTGAGTGTTTGTATCATTATTTTAATTATTAATTAATTATTAATAATACCTTTAGCATACTCTATGATACTTAAGAACAATGAATAGATATAGAATAATACAGTTTTATTTAAATGCGGAAGGAACTTTATTATAATTATAAATAAAATTTTCGAAACAGATTTCGATTTTTGAAAGAAATCAATTTTTTTAGCCTTTAATTACCCCCAAAGTACCCATGGGTGTCCTTAAAAAAATTCAGCCAATAATTCGGTCCGACCAGGGGGGGCTGGATCTTAGCTACCATTCCGTGTGTATTAGCCTTTTACCTGATAAAGGATGAGATTATTGCCTAATGATACAGTATAAACTATAAATATGCAGAACACTCTCAGAGTACAAGTGTATGGGGAGGTTTTGCATTTTCAGTTTTACTCAGTTTTCTCAGAACAGTTTATTAACAATGAAATATTTCTCTGCAAAAGACTGTAATAGTACGTCTTCCTGTGCAAATGGAATCCTGCATAGGAAAAAGGATTTTAATAGTTACATGGAAAACAAATCTCAATTTAAATATTTTCAGAAATCACCTTCGAGTACTGTAATATACATATTGACCTTTGTATGTCAAGTACATGGCCTGTGCAATTAGTAAAGGATTAGCGTACATCATCACTCTATACACTATAACCTCGTTAGATTAAACCATTTGTCCAGATAAAGCTTACATATAAAAATACATATAAGTATACAAATATATATACAGGATTACCCACAAACGATGAGACTGTAAAGACGACCGAAAACTTTTAAAATGTGAAGATCCCAAGTTTAAACTAAATATTTGGCCTTAGCTAGAGTAATCTAAGTTTCATCCTTTGTAAGTAACCCTGTAGTAAATGCCCTAATCCAATAAAGCTCAAACCATATCAATCCAGGTACAACTCGATCCCTCTTGTTAATTCACGAGACATAAGATATATTCCTTTCAGTAATAATTTATAATCAATGCCAATCCAGACACAATTTTATTTGTATCTCACAGGCAGCCGTAGTACATTTGAAAGGGTTAACCTTTCCGGTCCCAGTTTGTACTGTGCCTAGCTCTATGGACAGGACTAGCCTGTGCAACAAGGTTGACAAGGTCAGACTTTATATTTCATATAGGTTGAATTTACTTTTACCAATGGGGCAGATTTGTGTGATCTATACTCAATCCCTCTTGCTAATCCACAAGGCATAAGTACTATTCCGTTCAACAATACTATCAATGTCAATCAGGACACAATTTTATCTGTTGCAATTCCCAATCTATTTCTATTTTTCAAGAAAGTGATTCAGGACGCTTCTCGTTCGCTAACCAAGAAGTAAAATTACTCCCACACTGTTATCAAAGCGAAGTATTTTCCAACTGACGTTTATTAAGATTTCTATGTTATAAAGATTAATTTTAATAGAAATAATTACAAGTTTTCCTAGTCATTGATGAGCCCATTTAAATTTACAGACAATGCACAATGTAATTTATCTAGGTGTAACTATGGGATTTGCTACGGTATTTATTACAACCTCGGATATGAGCGAAGAGCTTCTATATATAAATTTGGCTTGTCTGTCTGTTTGGGTGTTTGTTTGTTTGTATCCAAAAAACGTCAAAACGGCTGAAACGATCAGGCCCAAATTTTGTGTGTAACCTAATGTGACCCCAGGGAAGGTTTATGAATAATTAATATTTTAAAATTTGTTTTTAAAAGTACTTGTTTTTTTTTAAATTTAAAATGCGGAAACAAATATTCTGAAACCCATAAACTTTTTAAAATTTTTATATACTGTACAAAGAGAAGATGTTCACAGATAAAGCCACAATTAAAAGTTGAAAAAGAGATGGGCGCGAAGCGCCCTAAAAGCCTAGTTTTATAAATTTGTATATTGTATATCATAAATATTGTCTAAAACTAAGTTTTAAGTGCGAACTGGGTTTAAGCGAGGAGTGTGAAACATTATGTTGATTCAATTCAAAATTCCATTTTTGTGTTCAATGCTTCTGTTTTCATATAAAATATTTATAAACAGGGTGGTCCATTAATTCTGACATTGGTTATAGTAATAGACAAAATATGGTGTTGGTTACATTTATTTTATAAAATTCTTTTTTCTTTTAACTGTATTTAATTTTTTTTCTAATACAGGTGTCAAAATGACCGCCATCTTCTTGAATGCATAATTCAGCTCTGCTGCTCAAATTGATAAAACTCTGAGAAGAATTTTGGCCGTGTTGACTTTGAAGAGTAACAACTTTCTAACACAAAAAGAGGCAACTACAAATTTTCAAAACTCTGAGATAGCTCTTGACCTTGACTATCATCATGGTAATTTGTTATAGCCGTTTCGCTAACACAAAGTATGGTAAATAGGCACGTGAAACGTTTTATCGAAATACTGGTCTATAGATAAACTGAATTTCAGTTGCTAAAACATTTTTACAGTTTATAGAAACTCCCAAAACTGAAATGAGAAATATAGCTGTTTAAAATTGTCCAAGTTAATGAGAAACCTCGTATATAGAATATGCTCTCTACAAACACCATTACTCTGTAATTATGAATTAGAAACTTTTAATAATAAAGATAGAAACAGTGCACGTGTATATATCTACCTGATGTGATTATGTTTCTATTGGCAAAATTTGATCGATGCCAACTAAAAAATTGATGTAAGCTGTACCATTCTTCAGGTCTAACATCTCCTGAGGATTCAATAATAATGTAAAAAATGATAAGTATGGTGTTTAATGACTAATAAGTAGGGATGTTAACGTTTTCATTTTTCAGAAAAACGATCGTTTCGTTATGAAAACGACGACGAAAAATAAAAAACAAAACGATCGTTTTTAAAAACGATAATTTTTTTTAAAAGTTCGTTTTTAAAAAATGGTCGTTTTTAAAACGATCGTTTCGTTAACGATCGTTAACGACGACCCTTCGTTAACGATTGTTAACGACGGACCTTCGTTAACGATCGTTAATGACGACCCTTCCTTAACGATCGATAACGACAACCTTCGTTACCAATCGTTAACGACGACCCTTCGTTAACGATCGTTAACGACAACCCTTTGTTAACGATCGTTAACGATCGTTAACGAAGAGAGGAAACCGACCTGAAGGACATCTGTACTTATCATTGAGTAGTTTTTAAGAAAATATCAAGGAGTTTTAACTCTCCCACAACTGTTAAACTTCGTATAAAACGACATTCAATAAAGTTGCAAGTAATTTTTTTCCAAAAACGACCGTTTTGATAAAATTCGTCGTTTCGTTAACGATCGTTAACGACGACCCTTCGTTAACGATTGTTAACGACGACCCTTCGTTAACGATAGTTAACATAATTGTCAATAACATTTTTTTTCAAAAACTATCGCTTTTTCAAAAACTATCGTTTTTTTAAAAAAAACAATCGTTTAAAAAACGGTTNCGATTGTTAAAGACGACCCTTCGTTAACGATAGTTAACATAATTGTCAATAAAATTTTTTTCAAAAACTATCGCTTTTTCAAAAACTATCGATTTTTAAAAAAAAAAATCGTTTAAAAAACGGTTGCAAATCTTTTTAATAAAAACGATTGTTTTCAAAAACGATCGCTATTCGTTTTCTAAAAGTTCAAAACGAGTGAGTTGTTTTTAAAAACGATCGTTTTTTTCCGAAAACGAAACGATCGTTTTTGAAAACGAAACAAAAAACGATCGTTTAACGATCATTTTCAAAAACGATTAACCCTACTAATAAGTTATGATTTAAACAGCACAATAAAATTTGTATTAATATATATACATAGAGAATAGAATATATTCTATTCTCTTTGTATATATATTTGTTTGTTAATAAATCATTAATGTTTGGATAAATAAAAATCTGTTATTTCATCATATAATAAAAATTAGTTTTTACATTTCTTCAACCCAAACTTTTAAAGTTATTGGTCCAATTTTTTTCAATGAGCTGGCCTTGCAAAATTGGGCTATGAACATGCATTTCAAACCTATACATATAATCTTTTTTGTTTTGTTTGGAGAGTAAAAAGTGAGGGGTATGAAATAGCAAATTAAAAATTAAAATTGAGAAAAAACGAACAATAAGAAATTACTAGGAGCAAGTATAATATTATGTATTCTGCTATAATTACAATTAATGAAGGGAGAAGCTGAAAGGTAGCTATCCTGCTATAATTACAATTAATGAAATTGATAAAAGTTAAAGGCTTTATATTTTTATCTCTGTATCAAATTAGAGAGGAATCTTATTGATGTGAGATATGAACAGACGTTTAGTGTAAGGAGAAGGACAACAGGCATTTCTGAAGGATACAATTGTTAATTTTCAGAATATACTTTACTACAGAGGCGGTTTATGTTAATGGCTGCAAATGGCAAACAAGGGATAGAGTCTGGGCAGAAATCATCATCATTGGAATCCTATTGGAGAACCATTTTCATTGCAGACCCCCTTAGCTATCTCATCAGAGACCCCCAGTTTTTTAATGGAACTGGCCCCCACGTCTCCAATACAAATCTGGAGTCTTAAGTCAAAAGCTTGGGGTCTCCAATAAAAAAGATTGGGGTCTCCGATGAGATTGCTTCACTGATGAAAGGGGGTCTCTGACAGTGATCCAAGGTGTTGTTTTATTTTTAGATTTTAAGAAATTAAATTACTTTTTCTTTACCTAAATATCCACCAGATAGCTGGCATAGATAATCTGGGTCTGGTACTGCCTGTTTAGGCCAATGAAAACAGGCTGATCTACCAGAATTAAGAGAGATCCAGCGATTACCAACACATTTAAAACCACCCCAGTGCCCAGCAACAGCTTTCTGATACAATTTAGTAAATTAAAAATATCTTTGTAAGCAAATTTAAAATTTAAACAGTTGTTTTTGTAATCATTTAAAGAATTAATATAAAATCATTAAATTTCTGCCAACCTCATTTTTAAAAATTTATTTGGAACAAAATTTAAGTTTAGACAAAATAATTCTTCTATACAGTAATGAAAAATTTTTCAATTTATCAGAATGAAAAAGAGCTTCCATAGCGCTCCTTCGATCAGACAAACATTGTACAGCATTTGTAATTTAAAAATGTTTCGTGAATTTTACAATATTTCGGGAAATGGCCCATTTAAAAAAATGCTTACATCCTCTGCAGTGCTAGTGTTGAACATATCTTGAATTGGAATATTTTGTGCTAAAATATGATTCTCTCGTAACTGCAGTTGTAAGGTTACATCTAAAAAAGATAAGATAAATAACTGAATATTATCCGACTTCTGATAATTTTTGCAAAGACATAAATTAATACATTTACAATTTTTACCTTGCATAGATGCACTACTGTCTATGTTTGAAGTGCTTTCATAAACAGCTCGGACAACTAGAAAAGTTAAGATTAATTGGATCAAAAAAAACATTTTATACCTTACCTATGTTATTTTTGTTAGAAAGCAGCGGCTGCATTTTTTTGGAGCAAACATTAAAAAAATGTAAATGTTTATATCCAAAGTTTGCATTAATAGCCGCATTTTGAATAGCAATCCTTGTAGGACAAACTAAATCCTTTCCAATGTTGAGAACTTTCATGTTGCAAACTCTCAAATTAGCCTAAAAAAAGATTTTCTTAAAGTTGAGTGACTGAACAATAGTAGATGATTAAATACATTCTATCCACCTTTCCTTTGCTCTAATGGTCATCCTTGTCAGTACAAATTTCAGAGGGATGATTTTGAGAATTAAAAATCATTTAATGATGGCAACAAAAATGTAATAACAATTTTACATTAAGCTAATGATTAGATGTTTAGGAACATATTTCTCAATAGAATTAGTCAACAAATAAATTTTATTATTATTTATTTCTTTTCGAATTTCTTATTTTTTATGAATTGTTCGCAGATATCTTCAAGTTCTTTGAAAAATTCATGAAAATCTACGAAAATGTTTGTGAACAATGAGGCATTACAGTTATTTTTTTTCTCAGTCTGTTCATAAACATCTTAAAAGTCATTGTAGAAGTTGTTTTACCTTTTCGCAATCGTAATTAAATATTGTTTAGAAATCCAATTCTCAAAATCATCTCTCCAAAATAGACTTTCTATTAGGGCTGGGCAAAGTTCTGTTAATGACATGGAGGTTTTCAAAAATAAACGGAAGAGTCCATTAACAATCGGCAAAATTGGTTAATTGGATAAGCCATATTTGTAAAAAAAAAATTTATTTTTTTAATGGTAAATTTCGTTTTTTTTTCTGCTTAAATTGCTTAAAACACATTTTTACATGTTTGATGTTTTAAAATGACGTCTTCGGTGTTCACAATTAACATTGACATTGTTAACTAATGTTAACTTTAAAAAAGTAAAATACCTTTAACAAAACAAAGTTTCATTCTTTCTAGGGTTTCCATAAAACTATTTCGCAATTTTTACGAAAGAAAGTGCAAATTTTTACTTTCGTTGCGCTACATATTGCGAAATTTGCGCAATCATTTGCAAACTTCATTTAGCGCAAAATTGCACTTTTCCGCTTTTGTGTTATTTTGTTTTGCGCAATTTTGCGGAAAAAATTCTAAGAAAAAGGTTGAATAAAGGTGTAAACCAAGGTTATATAAGAGTACAAGGTTAAGTACTCTGGATGCCCTCTTATAGACAGAAAATGTCGTTTTCCTATCAACGGACACACAAATACCTATTCTGACGTCACAGACACTTGATTAACTGTTTGGAGTTTGTTCTCAGTTTAAAGNGTCAAGATGAGGGACCATCTAGTCTCCAGGGAATTCAAAAACCCTAGTGAAATGGTGTTATACGCCAATAGCTTGTGGGACCCCAGGAAAGCTATACCTACTGATCACCTCCTAGCCGCAGCGTCAACCACATCATTTTCCCCATCATGTGGTAGAGCTCAGGACCACAGAAGCCCATCACCAAACCACTGTACCCAGGTCCGTCAAACTCTGAGTGTTATTTCCACAAACGTTTTGGTCCTGCTGCCAACAATTGTCGCCCTCCTTCCAGTTTCCAGGGAAACACCAGAGCCTACGGGAAGAGGAAAATTTAATCAGCCTTCCCGTCGGCAGTTATCTTGTGTACCTTCAAGATGCCCTGTCAAACCGTGATTATTTAGTTGACACTGGAGCTTCAAGATCTGTGTTTCCCCATCGTTCCTCAGCTGCACCAACAGGCTCCCACCTCTTAATGGCTGATGGACATCCAACTAAAGCTTGGGGTTCCAGATTGATTCCTCTACAGTTTGGTTCCCGCCGTTTCCAGTTCCAGTTCCTCCTTGCCGACATGGACCCACCAATCCTGGGAGCAGACTTCCTGGCAGAGTTTGACCTCCTAGTTGACACCAAGAACCGCCAAGTTCTTCAAAATCTCTCCTTTGAACCTCTTGCACCGCCTAGGTTTTCTTCCGCCAATTCCTCAGTTTCCTCTGTGTGTAAACTCGCCCCTGTTGCCTCTCTCCTGGATGAGTTCCCTGCAGCCTGGAATCCACGAACACCTGGTAAACTCCCTGAGCACAACGTTGAGCATGTGATTGAAACAGAAGGGCAACCGTTATATGCTCGCCCCTGCCATTTGGATCAAGTTAAGTTAGCCCAAGCTAAAGCTGAGTTCCAAAAGTTAGAATCGGCGGGGATTATCCATCGTTCCAATAGTCATTGGGCCTCACCTCTACATATGGTTCAAAAATCTAATGGATCCTGGCGTATTTGTGGCAATTACCGCCATTTAAACAATGTTACCAGACCAGACTGGTATCCTCTCCCTAACATTAGTGATTTTACAAACAATTTAAGAGGTTGCAAGTTTTTCTCCAAACTCGTCCTAGTGAAGGGTTACAATCAGGTTCCCATGAGTGAGGCAGATATTTGTAAAACTGTCATTGTGACTCCATTTGGATTGTTTGAGTTTTTATATAGCCATTTGGACTGAAAAATGCGGCTCAAACATTTCAACGCAGGATCTTTTAAGGATTACCCGTTGTTTTCTTCTACTTGGATGACGTCCTGATTGCCAGTCGGACCAGGAAACTCCACATCGAGCAACTCCGGGTTGTCCTAGAGCTCCTGGTTCAGAATGGAGTAGTGTTGAACCTGGATAAGTGTAGTTTTGTACAACACAAGATTGAGTACCTGGGACATAAGATTACTGTTGATGGCATCGTTCCCCTGCGTCGTTATGTAGATGCACTACTCCTCCAACCACATCCCCAGGATGTACGTGGTCTCCAGAGGTTCCTAGGCATGATCAACTTTTACCGCCGTTTTTTACCTGGGATTGCAAGAACTCTCCGCCCTCTCACTGATGCCCTAGCTGGAAATCCTTGGGTTCTTAACTGCTCCCAGGAGTTGCAAGACACCTTTGATAGAGTCAAATCTGCCCTTTCTTCCACTGTGTCTCTCACACATCCTTCTCCATCCGCCGAGGTGTCACTGCTCACTGATGCCTCCAACACACATGTGGGTGCAGCTCTACAGCAGAAAGAGTCAGGTGGTTGGAACTCCCTAGCTTTCTTTTCTGCCAAGCTCTCCGCCACACAACAGAGGTACTCCTCCTTCAATAGAGAACTCCTAGGAGTGTTTCTTGCTCTCTGCCATTTCCACTTTGAGTTAAAAGGACGAAAATTGCATATATTGACTGATCATCTTCCCCTGGAATCAGCTCTCTCACACATTTCTCCGCCAATGTCCGCCCTTCAGCAATGCCAATTATCCTATATCTCAGAATTCACCAGTGATCTCCACCATACACCTGGAGCTGCAAATGTAGTGGCTGACTATCTCTCCCGTCCTCCTCCAAAATCTCCCACTACTCCACAGCTGCCCCCTTCCCCTGGAGTTAAGGTGTCTGAGGTGTCAGCGGTGTTGGAGGTGTCTGAGGTGTCTGAGGTGTCTGATTCAACAACTCCATCACCTTTTCAACCTCTTCAGTGATTAATTTTTCAGAATTAGCCAAAGAACAGCTGTCCTACCCTGATATACTCCGCCTAAAGGTTTCCCCCACCCTCCGCCTCGTAACTGTTCCAGTACAGGATGGTTCTCTGCTCTGTGACACAAAGACGAAGGTTCTCCCCCCCTTGGTTCCATCTTCTCAAGGTTTAACATTTTCTCCGCCTTACATGGAATATCACATCCTGGAGTTCGTGCATCCAGACGTCTTATTTCTATAAGGTTTATCTGGAGGGGCTTAGCCAACGACGTCCATGACAGGTGCAAGTCCTGCATGCAGTGCCAACAAGGAAAAGTCCTCTGCAATGTTCACATTTGCCCTGAAAAGATTCATGTACCCTTCAGAAGATTTGCACATGTGCATGTAGACCTTGTTGGTCCCTTACCCTCATCTCAAGGTTTTACATACCTCTTCACATGTATCGACAGATCAACAAGATGACCTGAGGCTATACCTCTAACTGGGATTTCTGTGGCGGAGTGTGCCTCCGACATGTTCCATGGATGGATCTCAAGGTTTGGCGTACCTGCAGTGATTACAAGTGACAGAGGAGCCCATTTCACTTCATCCCTATGGTCCGCCATCTGCTCCCAACTCAAGATCAAGCACAAGACCACCACAGCCTTCCACCCTCAGTTCAACGGCATGGTGGAAAGGTTCCACAGGCAGTTAAAGAATTCCCTATGTGCTCGTCTTGCCTCCTCCAATTGGTTTGAACACCTGCCATGGGTTCTATTAGGTTTACATACATCTCCCAGAGAAGACTTCGCCACATTCGCCTCTGAAGCTGTTTATAGTTCCGAGTTAACCCTGCCTGGCCAGTTCCTAGAAGTGCAAGATCCTCCAACAAAACTGTTCTATGAAAACCTTAAAAATTCGATGTCTGGTTTTCAACCTGTTCCGCCTCGTCATAATACTCCTGCAGCTGACACTCTTCCAGAAGTTATTCCTGCAGAACTCTCATCTTGCCCAATCGTTTTATACGCATGGATGGACATGTTGCTCCTCTAGCCCCCCTCTAGGAAGGTCCTTACAAGGTTTTAGCCCGCTCCGTTAAAACCTTTCAGCTCCAAGTTGGCAAGAGAGTAGAAGTGGTTTCAGTTCAAAGCCTCAAACCAGCTTTCACAGCAGATAATGAGGCTCCAGTAGAACCTCCACGCCTGGGCAGACCCCCATGTCAACCTCCTCCAGTTTTTCCTGATCCCCCTAGAGGTAGAGGACGACCTCAAAAAGTTGTTGCAGAATCCTCCGCCGTTACTCCGCCAAAGAGGAAAAGAGTAACTTTTAACCTAAAACCAAAGATTTTACACCAAATGCTTCAACATTAAAAGAGTTTTTATCGCTAGCCTCCGCCTTCATTCTCTGCCTTCAGCCTCTGACTTCATCCTCCGGCCTCTCTGCTGGGGGGGGGGGGAATTGTCTTAAATATTATTTTGTGGAAGACAAAGCCTGGCCACGTTAAACAAGTTTCACAAGATTCAACAGAATGAGATAGAACAGATACGGGGCATAGTACTGATAAACATCTACACGTTGGATATCGATATTTACTCTAGATCTGAACCATCTAGTAATAAGTTATAAGAAATATATATACTGGAAGTTATTTATGCCTTTTTATTATATTCTGACTCACGTCCTCTATAATTTGATTAAATAATCAAATAAAAAATAACCATGCTTTGTTCAAAGATCAAAAATAAATATAGTTCATCTGAAGATCATAATTAATTAAGGGTTACTTAAAAATCAAAAATTAACATGTTCTCTTCAAAGTTAAAAAAATATAGTTTATCCAAAGATTATTATAATAAGTACAGTTTATCTAAAGATAACAAATTTAGCATGGTCTCTTCAAAGATAAACAATCGATATGATTTCTTCAAGTTCTTTTAAAGGTCACAAAAAAATAATGTCGTTCAAAGATCAAAAATTACTATGGCTTCTGCAAAATCAAAAATAAAATGGTTCTGCACATATCGAAATAAATCTGGTTTATCCAAAAATCAAAAACTAATATGATATCTTCAGAGATCAAAAATAAATATGGTATTTTCAATGATCTGTAGATAAAAATAGCCTCTTCAAAAGATAAAAATAATTTTTTTCACACCATAAACATTAATGAAAACAAATACTAAAATAACGAAAATAAAGATGTTATTTTCTTAAATATCATTTTAAACAGATTTTTACATTTAAATACATTATAGAATTAAATATTCGTGTTTTGAAATAGGGGCTATGTGTTTTTCGATTTCTCAGGAGACTCTATATGCTTATTGAGCCACTTCAGGCATATAAACAATCTAGTTTTGCAATACAGTTTAAGAATGTCCAAAGGAGCTCCAGGAATCTGGCGAGCTATCCAGAGTATCTAACATTTATTTGGAATATAATTGTAATGATTAAAGATGAAATGGTTACTTGCCTAAAACTCTTTTATTAACCTGATGCATGATGACACACTGCAAATCAAGATGTGCACGGGCTCACACAAAAACAAGCAGTATTTTGACAATTACTCAATTTAAGCTTAAGATAGAAACAGACGTGTAATATTTTTAGAAAGTATAAGTCGAGGCCTACAAAAAACGTATTAGTGAGTTGGTGAGAAAACCAAAGGTTGCGACACTTCAAGGTCGATGCTGTATAAAATTTTGATGATTAAGTTTTAGAGTTTTCCTCATCTAAGTGAGCCTTTGATATTTCAATCCTATGCATTCGACAAGAAGTATTCAACATTTGAAATATCAAGGTTTTAACCGACACAAGGATTCAGACATCTAAAAAAAAACATGCATCAATTTTCAATTTTCAAATTTCTAATTTCTGTTTTATTCATTTTTATCCCTCAATTTGAAGATTTTGTAACCAATCGAGAGCAGCATAATCATCATTTATTTGTATGTAATTTTTTTTAATAAACCTTGATTCTGTGCTGAAACTGACAATTTTGGTTGATTTGCAATAACATGTTTTGCGTAAAAATTTACGTTTTGCTCAATACTTTCGGTTTTGAGCAAAAATGTGCAAAACTTATTGTGCTTTATGTTCAAAAGATGTTCAAAAGTTTGCAAAAAATTATATACACGAAAATTACTCAAATTTTCAAATAATATATGATCAATTCGTCGATACCCTAGTACTTACCCTCTATAACTATTTGCTACCTGAGATTTTATTAAAAAAAAACAGTTGGAACTAACCGTTAACGAAACGTCTTGAAAAAGTTGGAACGTGTCTAGCCCTACTTTCTTTTGGGATTTTAAAGATTGAATTTGTGCTCTTGCTAAACAAATATTAACCATAAACACGTCTCATATGTCTCATATGAATTCTAAAAAGTTTCTCTACAATACTGCATTCTCAGCACAACTACCATGTGTGGTCAGACACTCCCTTTAAGTAATTGATTGAATATGCTTTGTGATACATTTCTTTAATTACACTCAAATATATATGCTGCCAATCAAAAAATTACTCACCATTTTGAAATTGTTTGCCTGGAATAGATTAAGGCTGAGAAGATTGAATTGCTTCCCATAGGGGATATTCAGATTAATATCGTAGGCAACCTCACCCCCAGCCGGAGTAATGCTGTCCATATTATAGTTGACTCTGCTATACGTTATATTTATACTCTCTCCAGACATGTTTTTGAACTTAAAATAATACATATTTTAATCAAAACAATTCTCCAGTAATGCGACACATATTTCCCCCCCTGAATGTTTGCAAAGAAGAGTTGCTCTTGTGCAAGAGATAAACTTATGAATGTTTCATTTTTAGGTTTAGCACAATTTTAAGTTAACCTCCATTTATAGAGGGATGTGTTAGATTCACAAAAGTACCCTTTCTTTTTTACTTATTGTATCTAAACCAGTATTAAAAACAAGAATATTTTCATCTTTCTTGCAGCGTAGACAAAGGTTTAAAGGGTACCGGTGGGAATTGAACATGCCACATATTGGGGCCCCTTGAAATTAAAGTTTGGAAGCACTGTGCCCAGTTAAAAATTAAAATTAAAATCTACTGGATTTTTGAGAAGAAATCTCTTGAAGGATTCAGGGGCAACATTTTTATTTGGAAAATGCCTAAAAATGTTTATTGTTATACCTCTCCTGTCACGAATAGATCTAGGGTTTCCATTTCCTTTGCTGTAGAAAATACACATTGATAACTCCCCTCACTTGCATTAAATCCAGCCATCACCATAAATGACACTTTTAAAAGATTATTCTCCTGAAAAAATAGATGGAAAAATAGAAAAAAAACCTGATTAAGTAGCTGTACCTGAAAGTTATGGACTGCACGAGAAGTTTGTATAAAGTATTTATAAATCCAATTTCTCGGAGAAGGAAAGTGTCCAAAATAATCTTGCTCTTCGTAAATAATACTAACAGGGCTAATTTCTGAAATAAAATGTTGTGAATTTGAGTTAATACCTCTAGTTTTCTTTTAAATTAAGAACCAAACATAACATGTTAATATGTTAAACAAAGAATAAAGCAAAAATGGGCAAAGCCTCTGATAAATTATTTGTCAACATAGGTTAATAATTTGCCGTTTTGTTAAACATACAAGTTAACCTGAATTATTTGTACAGCGTGCTGAAAAGTCAAAATTATTAAGTCCTTTAGGACAACTCAGCATCATGTTAAACTCCAACATTTCTCCTGGTCTTAATGTACAGTTTCCTTCACAAGATACCTGATACAATGTATGTATAAATAACAAGATTTTTGCAAAAAAAAATATTTTTATGAAACTTTTGTGTACTTTATCATTCATACTCACTTTATGGTGAATTTTATTATATTTACTTGATATAAAATTAGCTGTTTATTATAGCACAGTGTTAAAAAGTTTCAATTGGTTTAAAGAAAATAAAAATGAAATTAACTTTAGCATTTAATTTCTGCTTTGATAGAAAACTAAGAAATAACTATTGAATCACACAAACATTGCATAAAATTACCAAGTTCTGGCAAAAAACTTTGCAGCACTGCAACCAAATAATAGTGTTATAAATAATTAATTAGTTATATTACATTCATGATAGTTGGGTAGACTTGTTGTTGTTGTTCAGGGTTCAGTTCTTCAAAGGCTTCTGCAGTTTCAGAGTATCTTTGGGTTCCATATCCCAACTCAATAAAGTATTCAAACTTTTTGTTCTTAAAGAAAAAGGATAAACAATTTTTTTAATCTTCCTAGCAGAAACAATCACAAGAACTGACAAGGGTCAACCCAGACCGAAATCTATTTTCAATAAATGAGGAAGTTCTTCAAAGGCTTCTGCAGTTTCAGAGTATCTTTGGGTTCCATATCCCAACTCAATAAAGTATTCAAACTTTTTGTTCTTAAAGAAAAATGATAAACAATTTTTTTTAATCTTCCTAACAGAAACAATCACAAGAACTGACGAGGGTCAACCCAGACCGAAATCTATTTTCAATAAATGTGGAACTAACATCTACTTTTTTATTCTACAGAGGTTTGGTCCATCACCATCACCAAAGTAAAATTTTTTTTCGTTATTGGAACTCACCACATTAGCTTCGTCTTGTCTAAACCCCAGAAATGTTATGGGAACAGATATGCTGATAAAATCTGTATCACTAATATCATCTGTAGTGCAATACTAAACATTTGTTTTGTTGCCTTTAATGCCTTTAGGAATGAAAATTGAATACTTTAATATCAAAAGCATAGTCTTTGAAAAAGTTGATCTGCACTTACAGTTTTTAAACATTGATGATATCCCATCATGTTTGGGTAATTTATCTGCCAACCACCATGTGATAGTTCACCTAGAATTAATTAGTTTTTAAACATTTTTGTTTATCATGATTGAAAACTTGAAAAATATACCTGATGGAGCCATTTTTGAACTTTGCACAAATTCCTGATTATTTATGGAATAGTGACCATGAAATGATAGAATCGGTTTTCCAAAATAGTATGCATCCTGTAAGAAAAATATCTTGTTTTATATCTTGATATGATAAGAACATCTAATTTATTAATGCATGCCAGCATTTCTAAAAATGTATGTCCTCTGTAAACTGTGTATATTGTTTACACATTTTACATTAAAATAAAAAAATAAAATATTAAAAAAACATAAAGTTAGTGTTTGGTTGTTTTCTTGTCAATTTTAACATTCTTTTTTTTGATTTTGATGGTTTTTTATCTTTAGAATTGATGAGGGTCGACCCAGACGATAAATATTTTTAAAAAATTGTGGAACTAACATCAAGTTTAATTTATTTAATAAATGAGGCTGTGTCCATCATCAATAAATATATTACTTTATTTTTGGTTGTTTCCTTCTTTTCGGTCTGTAAAATGATGTCATATATAATGGTACTAGACTTGAAGGACGCTTTGGGCCCATCCTCTATTTTAACTTTTAATCGTGGCTCTATCTGTAAGGATCTTCTCTTTCTGCAGTTTAAAACAATAACTTATAGAAATTTTCAGATTTTCAAATATTCTTTCGCGAATTTTCAAAATTTCGCAAAAGTCAAAAGCTTATATATACAAATTTTTGTAATCCTAATCTATTAACATCCCCTGTGGTTATGCAAGGTCCCACACAAAATTTGAGCCCAATCGGTTCAGCCATTCTGACGTTTATTTGATACAAAGAGACATACAGACACCACAGCAAAGTATGGATAAAGAAGTAAAGGATACCTTTGTACCCATTTGTTTAATTACAAATTTCAAATTTGCTTGAGGAACCAGAGTTTTAATTTTTATCCTCAACAGCATTGCAGAATTTATTGATGCAGTCCAAATTTTCGGTAAGTTACTCTCAACAGTTAATCTCTGAAAATACGGGTTTTTGATGAGCCAGATGGCTTTCTTTTCCATATTTAAAAGAACTGTAACTTGTAAGCGTAATTTAAAATAACCTTCCATTTATGGAGTGGCAAGTCCGACTTACAACGAGACCCTTTAAACCTTTGTGTGATCAAGGATTGCGTAAATATTCTTATTTACATAGCGGGACATAAAGTGCCAAGAAACCACGCAAGTGTACAGTGTACAGTTAACCCTTTAACCATGAGTCTCCGGCACTCAAACTTCAGCTATACAAATGAGGTTATCATCATAGTCTGGATAAAGGTTTAAAGGGTACCGTTGTGAATTGGCCATGTCTCTTTATAAATGAAAGGTCACTTAAAATTAATCTTACAGTCCCTTTAATTCTAGTTAACATCTGTTGTTCTTACAAATCAAAATAATTTATTCATGCGCAGCAATTATTCCAAATTAAGAGCTTTTGTTTCCAAATGTTGTGGATTTATCATATTTTTCTTGAGATTTTCATACGGGACAAAAAAGAGTGTTGGGTCAGAAAGTATAAATAAACTATATTTCCATATACAAAGATTTTAAAGCTTAATTTGTTGATAATTTTACATTGAAATATTGTTGAATCGACTTTTTTTATACTGTGCTTTACAACAGTATTTCTTTGAATGTTAATAGATAAATGAATTAGATTTTGCTACAAAAATCAGACTTTTTTAAACAGCCAGAGTTTTTTTTAATTGAAATTACACCTGCAAAACATTGAAAAAAGGAAGATATCCCAGACCAAAGGCTGATCCTTGATAAGTTTTGATTTCATCAATAGAGACAAAAAGAAGATCATCATTGAGCACTAATCCGGCAGTTATCATCATGACAGGATGCACAGTAACAAATTGATTCACTTCAGGACTCTTAAAAAGAAAGAAAAAATGTCACAATTTAAGATTGAAATATGATACTATACCATTAAATTATGAGACTGTGCCAAAAGTGCTTTGAAGGAAACTTGCGTTTCCATTTCCAGTTTCACATCACCGGCTATCTTGTTTATCTGTTTACAGGTAAAAATTATACATTTTAGCCTTATTTATAAAAAATTTTGTAGAGCATCTGAAACTTACAATGTTCGGATACATAAGTTTTCTATTTTTAACAAGGCGGTTTTCTTCCAAGTTTGTTTCAAATAAATGCACTGAGGAAGGTCCATCATAACCAAGTAGTTTCCGATCTCCTGAACATCATGTTTTGTTGAATATAAACCGTTGGAAAAAATTGCTAATATATAAAAGCGATGTTTAGTATGTGAACTTTCCTTTGTTGGTGCAGAGGCAACTGAAAAAGTTAGAATAGTTTTTACCTAATCTTTCGGAAAATACATCTTTTTTCAACTTTATACAAAGTATCATAACATGTAGGGCTGGGTGTGTTCCTGTTTTTTATTTGTCGTTCCTTGTTCTAGAACGAGGGTCTTCTGCTAAATTGTAAGCGTACCCAGAACGGTTCCTAGGAACGGGTTGGAATTGGTTGATGGAGAAAGGTTGAGAATGGGCAGGTAACACGGCCATTAGACAACCCCACCAAACCAACAGATAAATTACCTGTTTCTATTTTTCTAGATTATTTAGAACCCGTTCCTGATGAAATGAATACAGACTGTTCTTTTCAACCAATTACTGTTCAGTGTTCAATCCACTCTTGTTTTTCAATGATCATTCCAATATTTTTAAGAACGGGTTTTACATGTTCTTTCTTTTTTTCCGAACAATGGCATTGTTTTTGATAATTCTGTTTGTTTCTGGAAAGAAAGATCTTTCCACGAGAATAACGAAAAGCCCTAATAACAATTAATATGCTTTTGTAATAGGGTTTCCAGCAAAAATGGAAAGTTGTTTTGCGAAAATTTAGCTTTTTTCACAAAAATTTTTTTTATTTACCTCTTTCGCGGAAACCCTATTTTGTAATGCTTCATGCAAAGCCAACTTTCAGATTGATAAGCAGATATTTTGTTCCGCATCGCCTGGAAAAACTTACAATTGGGACTGGGCGGCATTCCTGGGGAATGATTGTTCTTTTACAGTAACAACAAAAACAATATGCCGTCATTCAAAAACGAAAGTAAAATGCACAGAAGGCATTCTAAAAAATATTGGAATTATCTATAGATTAACAAACAGTAATGGTGAAAAAGAACAGTCTGGAATCGTTCTATCCAGAACACGTTCTAAATCAGGTCTAATATGGATGTGAGGGGGGTGTAATCAAAATTTTTAACATTCTGTTTGGTTACCGTACAACTGGAATCGTTCTCAATTCTTAAGACAAAGAACAGCCAGAGATGGAATTTAAAGAATTTGAGCCGCAGTTAAATCTGCCAAAACCCGGTTTAAATTAAGCGCTGGCTTAAATATTGAAACATTTGATACAATTTTAAGTGGAACCAACCATATTTAAGCCGCGGCTTATATTTAAACCGCCGCTCAAATTCTTTAAATTCGGCCACAGAACAAGGAACGTAAGGTTCACCTGAACTGAAGGCCCTTGTTCTATAACAAGGAACAAACCGCTTAAGAAAAAGAACATGCCCAGCCCTACTTGTCAGCTGTTAAAGCGGAGAAAATGTGTCGCCTCTTCTCTGTGTCAACTAAGCTTCCGCCAATGAGTAGTTATGTCATGTGATGATTTTGAGTGTCCTGTGCTATGAAGACGACATTTTTCGTACATTGTAGCCAACCTTATAACAAACACATAACTGAACCCTGATTGGATCAGGCACTAATGGACCCGGCATACAGGAGTGATAAGAGGAAATATTATATTGCCTTGTTTTCCCTCGACCTTGTTGGGTCCCAAAGCTTCCCTCCCTATACGCTCCTAATGCTCTAGGACCCAACAAGATCTTGGGAAGCCTCGGAAATATAATATTCCCTCCAATAATAATTGCATTCCTATTACACTCCTGTAATGAAGAAATAAATAGTTAGAAATGGAAAGCTTAGTAGAAACAAAAATTTACTTATTTAGTTGAAAAATATATCATAAAAATAGAACGTATATGCAAATTGCTGGCCGTGAATGGCAGTGTCTCCATTGATGAATGACAAATTTGAAATCAACTTTGAAATTCCGAGTTGTGACCTGATTGGTAATATTTGTTTTTTTAGAATTAGAATACTCTTGGACAAATCGTTGAGCTACACATTCAGAATCCTGTCCACATGCATTAGTACAACTGAGTAAAAAAAGGTTTATTATTGTTTATCATATTCAACATGTTTGTGGCTACATGCAATACCCGGCCCAGGGTATTGAAAACTTTGTCTGGAAAATTTATTTATAGTTTTTGGAAATCTATCAAGTTTAATTAAAAAATCTGCCAACAATTAAGTTTATTTCAGTTAGATTAAAAATGGCAGCTGTGGTTTTTGGAAACATTTGCAAAATTTTTAAAACATAAATGTGTATTTAAGAAAAACTAAACATTTGAAAATTTCCTTCAAAGGCGTCTGTGCAAAAACTTCTTACTTAGGCAGTAAGTATAAAAGCCCAGATTTTAGCCTTTTAGTGATGGGCATGTGTTACTTAGCAAAGCCAGAAAATTTGAGCTTCATATCTCAAATATCGCAAAAAAAACTATTTAGGGGGGTGGGGCGTCAAATTGAACCCCCTCAACAGGCCAGATAGGGTTTATAGATTAAGTAAATTTTCAAAATGATTTCAATTTAAACATTTAAGTTTATACTTACTCAAAAATACTTGAAGCGTTGGTTTTAGTCTGGGAAAGCGGAGCCTCAAAGGAAATTCCCTCAACAAAACAGTAGTCTAAACAAAGAGCATGTATTAATGATTAGTATAAAGTGGAATTAACTAGAAAAAAATGTGAAACCGCCATTTTGTTGTAATGTTTCCATACTGCAGGTGTACTTGTGTACTAAGAAAATTAATTTGAAACAAGATACTAATTGCAGTACAAAAGAGTCTAAAGCAAAAAAATTACAATTTAGGATGTTTTCACTTAATGAATGCCGAATTTACGTTTTGATTTCAAAAGAAATAACAACTTTTATTCTAAACATTTAAGTTTATACTTACTTAATAATACTTGAAGCGTCGGTTTTAGCCTGGGAAAGCGGAGCCTCAAAGGAAATCCCCTCAACAAAACAGTAGTCTAAACAAAGAGCATGGATTAGTATAGAGTGGAATTAACTAGAAAAAAATGTGAAACCGCCATTTTGTTGTAATGTTTCCATACTGCAGGTGTACTTCACACACTTGTGTATTAGGAAAATTTATTTGAAACAAGATACTAATTGCAGTACAATAACAAAAGAGTCTAAAGCAAAAACAAATTTACAATTTTGCACGTTTTCACTAAATGAATGCCGAATTTACGTTTTGATTTCAAAAGAAATAACAACTTTTATTCACCTAGCTAATACACAAGTTTAAAATTAATTTTTCTAAAGATAAATTGTAACGAATTTGTCCAGGGGGGAGCATATTGTATATTATTGTGATATATTGCGAATAGTTTGTTAACGTTTACATAAATTGTACACTTTAAACTCTTTTTCAGGCTCAAAGGGACTGTACAAATTCATACGAGGATTAGTTTTATTTCCATTCTATTCTAATCTCTGTTCTGTGAGTCTAAATCTTAAAATCATAAAAAGCAATTTAAGAATAACAAAAATGAACATACAGACAGAGATAATTTTTTTTGTCCAAAAAAGTGTTATTTATGCGAACCCAATATTAAAAAAATAAACTTTTCCCCACGATAATTGCTTTTAGCATTTGTATTGCGATAAGAAGCCTGTAAATATAAATTTACCATTAACAGGAGCTATACTTGATATATCCACCTGTACTACAGGGCCACAGTTCACATCTGCAAGACAATGTTAAACTCACATCTTAATATTTTTACATAGATAATAAAAATACTTTTTTACCTTTAAAATCTATATTCATTTGATACTCATGAACAACTCCTGGGTATGAATGCTCCGGGGTATCTGTTGAAACCTTGACCATTTTTTGTATTTATTTATTTACAAAGGCAACCGTGATGAAACGATATTAGTTACTTTTCCAAAGGCATAATCCCAAGTGGCAACTTCCCAAGGGTGTATTCCCAAGTGGCAACTTCCCTAATGTACCATTTCCAAAGCGGCAACTTCTCAAGTCTGTCCTTTCCGCAGAGCTCGGCTCCCTCCTCTGTCATAACCGCAGTGTTCAGCCCCCTCCTCTGTCCTAGCCGCAGTGTTCAGCCCCCTAGCCGCAGAGCATGGCTCACATTCCAGCCTATGGCGCGAGCCTCAGAAGTCCTAACCTAACCTTTGATATGTTGCTGCTTGGGAAATTGCACATTTGGGACTAAGAAAGTGGCCTTTGGGAAAATACCAATAAAACCTATAAATGGCATGCTAAATAGAAATATGTATTCCCAGCTGTTAAAGTGGTGCTACTGTCAAATCTTTTCTAATAATGTGGAAAATAAAGTAATTTTTCTAGTTTAGAAAGTGTTTAATTCTGACAACTCGTCTTTTCTTTTATGGAAACAAATATTAAATATATACATTTTTAGAGATATAAATTGATATTCAATCCACTGAGATATAGACAACTCTAAAATTTAGTCATCGACTTTTTAGACAACCTCGATTTTAAAGTGCTGTAGCGCCTCGGCCCTTGGTTTTACCTGCAACACACTTTTTTCAAGCTTAACCCTATCCCTGCTGGGGTACTTGAAAACAAGGATATGCGGGGGGGAGTCAATTTGACCCCCCCTCTAAATCCCACGTTTTATGTCCAAATATGACAAATGATACATCATTAGAAAGCTCTTGTGCTCTACTCTTAGAATCTGCAAAAAAATTGCAAATTTGCAATAATTGAATTTTGTATTGCAAAATCCAGTTGTAAAGTAAAAATGTTTGCAAAAAAAAATTTGTCCAAAAGCCCTTGACCATGCCATTTCAAATATGCAAAAATTTTTGCAAAATTTTAAATAACCTGATTTTTAATCAAGAAAAACTAAAAATGTGCAAATTTCCTTTGACAGGTTGTTTGCAAAAAATTTGCAATTTTTTTTCGCAAAACTTTTGCAATCCGTTTCCTGAAAGTCAGAAAATTTCAACAGCCTCAGACCAATACTTTTTGAGTTATGTAAAAAAAACTACAGGGGGGATCAACTTGACCCCCCCCCCAGCAGGAATAGGGTTAAAGGGACTGAAAAGGAAAAATGAAAGGGGATATCGGATGAAACTTGAGAACTTCAAGAGTTGATCAAGACCTATAAGAGTTCTATCTGATGTTCCTGTCTCGAGAGATTGATACGAAAATGTGTCAAAATTATGCAAATATATATAGCAAATACCCAACCAATCTGAAAACAATTCTCCTATTATTATTGTTTGAATTTAATAATTTTTCATTTTTAAAAGATTTAATATTTAGAATATCCCAAAACCTCTTTGCTTTCTTCTGCTTTTGTTATGAAATATATGCTTTTTCCTGAAATAGCTCGCTTTAACAAAGGCGACATATAAATATATTCCGGGTTTACATGATCCATTCAAGGATAATTATATGAACGGGAAAAGTAATTATAAATTTAAATCATTATAATTCAATGCTAGCTACAATTGAAAATTTTTTTAAATGATAAGATTATCAGAATATATTCATTTTGTCTAGTCTCACCATGAATAAAAANTCTACTTGAAAGTAGGTTTATTTCTTAGTCCTAAGAAGGATATTTACTTATATGAGAAAAATTGTGAAGGAATTGAGTAAAGCAAACTCTGATTTTCTCTTCCTTATTTCTTAGCAACCCAACTTCGTAGACAACTTATATATTTCAAACTTTCATTTATGATAGATCAAACAATTTCAAAGGTTTACACCAGCAGGTTGCAATGATATAGGGTTTAGGAAAGTCGAGTTTGTGGCAAGGATTCAATTCCTTTTCTGAACGGAAATATTTTATTTCAAATCTATTCTAAATTCTTTGTTCCAACTTACCATGGTAAAATCTATATTTGGACGATCTTCATATGAAATGGTTGCAATTGATTGACAGCCTTTAAATAAGAAATGTTTTAAAGTTGATTAATGATGATAAAATTGTATTGTTTAAAAATAGAATGTGAAAATGCTACCTTCAGTATAATTACTTGACTCAGCAGACAGATTATTTGCAGATATCTTTAATAATTCAACAGTTATTTTCTTTGTCGCATGAAGGAGTGATAATTTGGTGGCTATGAGCCTCCGCTAAAGAAAGCTTGCCAGATTTGCCATGATAGTACAAGCTCTTTACTTTTGTTGCTCTTTTATATTTGACTATTTTGGCATGCTGACAGTTTTACTTAATTACTGTGTGGTTAGTTGCCCAACTCAGTTAGTTTAAAACTACAACTATGTTTAAATTTAAAACATTTTTTGAAAAAAGTGTCATATTTCTAAAAAATTTGCAATGCAAAAATAATCTTGTATTAATCATAACATGAGTTAAAAAAGCCTGCTTAAGGTTCCATTTCTGTATTTGAGAGGCTTGTATGATGTATAGCAGAGGCTGTTTTGCAAATCCTGGAGGCTCACAACTGTATAAGGGAGGCTCAGGGCTGCCGCGGAGTCCCTTCCTCAGAATTGTTTTAAACAATGTACTTTTAGATTTAACCTGTGCATTGGCAAGCAGAAAAAAACCTGACATTATCAACAGAAAAATCCAGAACTGAAAATAATGTTATCACTGACAAGCAATTAATTATGCGTCTTTTTTATCATAACTTTGTTGTTATTATTAAGATTGTTATTATTCAGGAGTACTTTTTGGGAAAAAATCATTGAAACAATATTTAAGCATCGCTTTAAATACTATAAAAATATAAAGGATAATTTTGCCTTCAAGTTAGATCGGTTTTTTAACTCTAAATTAATTGGTTTAAAATTTTTGCGAAAGTTTAATTTTCAAGCAAAGCTGGGTTCTGCAAGCTAGTAGAAATAATTGAATTTGACAATACCTTAAAATGCATGTGAAATAAAGAAATCAGTAGACTGACTCTAAGCAAAGAAAAAATTTCAATATTCACTTAATTATCTTTCTATAATAATGATAAGAGAATACAATTTTTTTATAAAAATTATTTCAAAATGGCATAACACATTAAAGGGAGTGACCGACCATGTATAAGGTAGTTGAACTGAGTATGCAGTGTTGTTGTTAATTTAAAAAACTAATTTTGAAAACGTATCCACCCCCAAAGTAGGAGTTTTGAACGTCGAATTTGCGCTCAAACTCAGGATTTACAGATCTTTAAAAAATTTTATATGTCTCAAATGAAACCGAAAGAAGTTTTCCACAACACTGCATACTCAGTTCAACTACCTAACATAGCCGGTCACTCCCTTTAAACTCTATAAAATGAGATGATTTATTCATGGTGTACTGCCACGTTTTCCCTCTGTCGTATATTGTAAATACTTGATAAAGGTTGGTAAACGAAAAAAATTGAGATAACTATTAATGCTGGCTTAAAATATCATTTAAATATATTTTTTTGGGGTTTCTTCATTTTCCGATAACCTTATGAAGCAATCTTAGTAAACAAATGAGCATAGATAAATATTACAGTTACTTGGGACCAGCCAGGGGCAGCTTAAAGTGGAGGAGGGGGACGTCTCCCTCCGTTCTAAGTGATGGGAATAGAAAAATAGAGTTTGTAGTGAGTAATATAAATTAAAATTAAAAATTACGCGACATCAAGTTAGGTATGATTTTAGCTTTATTTAAATCTAAATAAGCAAATGTTTTGAAAATTTTCCTGATTTCATTCATTGTCAAGCCCTTTCTTTCTGAAAAAATATATAGATAATTTCAACGTAATTTATCCATTGCAAAATATGTTAACGTTAATGGACAAATACAATTTACCGAAATCCAATATGAACCCCCCCCCTCGTAAATACCTTAATTCTATCCTGATTGGGCTATTTTTGTCTAATATAGATCTATAGATGTAAATAGTTCAAAAAGTACGTCGGAAAATTTTAAAAATAAATATTTTTACTTTTGACAAATATTAGCTGCATTTCACAAATTTTTTTTACATCCAATTTTCAAGGGCTTTTCAAATATATAAATTTTAGCCCTTAAGTTACTAAAAATACCAGGGGGGGTTGGAAAACACCCCCCCCCCTCCCACATTGTGATAGGGTTAAAGGGAATATCGTTGTTATTTCAAGTAAAAGAGGGGCAGCCAGTCACGTAATGTAGAAATCTCAATTTTCTAAAAGAAGATAATGAAAATCTCTTTCATTTTTTTTCAGACAAAGCACCCTTAAGTACCAGCAGTGTAAATATAAGAGTAACAGACAAAAAAGTTCTCTGAAAAAAGTTTTCGGAAATAAAGTCCTAAATTTTGGCATTAAAAGTATCCGTGGAAAACAGTCTTTGAGATAAAAAATCTCCGGAAATAAAGTCCATACCATTTTAAGACTTTATTCTCTAGGTATTCAACATGCAGATACATAAAAGAAAAATTCAATTTATGAAAACGTCTAAGACTTGGAACTTTTTTTCCCAAGACATAGGACTTTTTTCTTCAGGACTGTAATTCCGGTCATCTTTTTTCCATACATTAATATTATTTCAGAAAAAAAGTCCCAAGAATTTAAAACTTAAAGGACTATATTTCCAGTGTCATTTTGTCCTAGGACTTCAGAAAATTGGGACTTTTTACCGATGTATTTATTTCCAGAAACCTGGTTTCACGAATTCGGTAAATCAATTTTGTAAATATCATTATATTTTTAAAGGCATATTATTTTATCATGGTTAGTTTTAAATTCCCTTTTTATTTTCTACTTTTTGGTGGCTAATCTACACAAATGTAGGTACTTGGTGTTAATCTACACAAATGTAGGTACTTGGTGTTAATCTACACAAATGTAGATACTTGGTGTTAATCTACACAAATGTAGATACTTGGTGTTAATCTACACAAATGTAGAAATTTGGTGTTAATCTACATTAATGTAGATACTTGGTGTTAATCTACACAAATGTAGATACTTGGTGTTAATATACACAAATGTAGATATTTGGTGTTAATCTACACAAATGTAGGTACTTGGTGTTAATCTACACAAATGTAGATACTTGGTGTTAATCTACACAAATGTAGGTACTTGGTGTTAATCTACACAAATATAGATACTTGGTGTTAATATACACAAATGTAGGTACTTGGTGTTAATCTACACAAATGTAGGTACTTGGTGTTAATCTACACAAATGTAGGTACTTGGTGTTGATCTACACAAATGTAGATACTTGGTGTTAATATACACAAATGTAGATACTTGGTGTAAATCTACACAAATGTAGGTACTTGGTGTTAGTCTACACAAATGTAGATACTTGGTGTTAATCTACATTAATGTAGATACTTCGTGTTAATCTACAAAAATGTAGATACTTGGTGTTAATCTACACAAATGTAGATACTTGGTGTTAATCTACACAAATGTAGATACTTGGTGTTAATATACACAAATGTAGGTACTTGGTGTTAATCTACACAAATGTAGATAATTGGTGTTAATCTACACAAATGTAGATACTTGGTGTTAATCTACACTATTGTAGATACTTGGTGTTAATCTACACAAATGTAGGTACTTGGTGTTAATCTACACAAATGTAGATACTTGGTGTTAATCTACACAAATGTAGATACCCCCCCAAACAAGAAACTCGGGAGTGCAGGTGCAACGATACTCTTTTAAATATCCCGCTCAGAGATAATATTAAGGAAATTCCGTTTTTGCGGATGGAGATACAATCTGGAAAATAATTAGTTTATTATTTGTTTGTTGTCGAGTTTGAAGCATGACTGCTGCATTCCTAGTGCAATTTTGTCTGAGCAAGTGCATGGATTGGCCTGGTTATATTGCTTTCTATTTAAAGCTTGTTTACAGTAGTTATGGGAATAAAGTAAGAGAATTTTTCGTGAAATTGGTTCAATTTTTGCAAAATATTTTGTTCACAATTTTTTTTGCAAAACTTTTCAAACGTTCGTTGAAATTCTTAGTTTCCTCAAAGACAACTATTTTCGTGAAATTTTAGCCTAATTTTGCGAGCACATTAAGAGATTTCGAATTTCCGTTAAATTTCGATTAATCGAAAAGTTACAAATTATTTTGGCGTAAGAACTTTTTGATTGAAATGAAAGTACGAACAAAAGATTGCCAAACCAGTTTAAATACTTAATTTGCCAAGTACGTATAACATCCCTTCCTAATTCAGGTATTGCAGAACAATTTTAATTACATTTAAAGGGAGTGACCGGCAATGTATGGTAGATGAATTGTGAATGTAGTATTGTGGAGAATTTTTTAGGAATCATTTTAGACCTATGGCTATGAGACGTTTTTTGTTGCATATCTGGTTAGCAAAATTAATTTTTGAAAGATGATTTTGAGAATAGGTTTTTAAAAAATTATTTAATAACGAAAATGAAAAATGTAGTAAAAATTTGCAGTGAACTAATTAGTTGTTTAGGAACAGGTTGAGAAAATGAAAATTCACTATTAACATCTAAAAAAGTAATATTATTCAGTTATTGGTTTCTGTAATGTCTCATTGTTCCCAAACATCTTCTGTAGATTTTCTGGAATTTTTACTGAAAAGGCAACATTTGAAGAATTTGAAGAAATCAACGAACAAATTCATAAAGAATAAAAAATAAAAATTCAATATAATGATGAAAAAAAAAACAAAACCCTCCACAATACTTCATTATCAGTTCAAATACCATACATTGCCGATCACTCCCTTTATGTATGAAACGGCTCGGAAGAAGATTCACATCAAACATGATACATAGTCATTTTTAAGTCGCAAGGATGTTCAGTTGAACACCTAGTATTCAAATAACAGTATTAGTCTACATATAAGATGAACAGCATGGATACACAACAATAAAGAAGCCAAGAGAATTTATCCATGAAAAAAAGCTTGTTAACAATCAAAACTTAAATAAGAAAGTCGTCTTCATTGTAGGGATATAATCGTTTCCCTCCGTACGTAAATCAATAGGTTGAAATTGGCTTTCTACCCTGAATAGTGAACATAGTTTGTGAATGGTTTATTTAATGATTTGGTAAGGAAACTATGCAGAGCTGCAGGGAATTCATTCAATAATAAACTAAGACTCCAAAATGGTGACTGTTACTTCTCATCCCGTAGTATACCTTGTTTCATGCCTCTTGTTGAAAATATAAACGTTTAAATTTCGGGTTGGAGTAGTTCAATTATCTTTTGATTGCTTCGTCTTATTATCATAGTATTAATTACTAAGCAGTAGATTGCTTCAAACGAGAGGAGGGAAGAAGGGAGATGAGAGGGAGGGTAGGTGGAGCTTAGAGGGAGGGTATTGGAGAGTGTTATAGGTAGGGGAGGGGGATGGGGATAGAGGCTCAAATAACTTTAAGTTTTACTTTTTTTAAATCATTTATGCCAAAAATTGTGGAAATACAAGACGATTTGAACTTGCCTGAGATTTCAGATTTTCACTCACTGAAATAAAATGTGACAATATGATATTACACGTTTTTTATGTAAAAACATGATGTAAACCCTTTGATAAATTTTTAAAATCGACTATGGATATCAAATATTGAGAAAAATCAATCAAACTTTTATTTCCTAATATCTGCAGATATATGCGCCCTGGTGGTGTAACCCTTTGGCATCCAAAACTTTGAAAAATTGATCCAGCAGAATTCTTATCTTATCTATGACATCAGATTGTAAAGATATGAGTATATGACAATTATAAATTGTGGCAACTGACACGTCAAAGTAACCCAGTTATTTCAAGCTGTCTGGAATCTAGATCTTTGTTAGCGAATATTATCCAGAATTCAAATTTGAACTTTTAAAATGAAGCAACGTAGCGTTAGACATTTTTTCGATTGATATTTAATATATACGACAATTTTTGACAATTATTAAGCAATAGCTGAAGGGCCCGGTATTGCCCATGGACAAAAAATTGAAAAAAAATTGTGGACGGCCACCCGTCCACAATAAATGTCAGTCCATTAACAGTCCAGCCGTTTGGCCGGCTATACGCAACATATATATATAAATGTCTTGTTTTATTATATAGATTTAAAACACAATCAAGGTTGTGTTCAAATTTGTATTCGGGGATTTTTTTGAAAAAGCATCTTTTCTTTTTCAAATCGTACCTGACAAGGTAAAAAAATCTTTAAATATTGATAATAAAATTCGTAAATGAATAGATGTGGACATTTGAAATTCGTAAATGAATAGATGTGGACATTTGGTTATTTATGAAGTTGTTTTATGGCGCAAATGCAAAAATATCAGTAATATAATTCATTTATGCAAATCCCCCCCAAACCTGAATGTTGCAGTATGTTTTCGCTACAGTTTTACTTGTATAACAACTTTTGATACCTATCGCAAGGATTTGTTACACCGATTCTAAAACTACCTGTAGAATTATTAAGCAGAGAATTGCTTCCTCTCAACATTAGTAGCCAAACTAGACATTTTGTTTCAAATGTTTTTAAAATTCCATAGTCAGCACCGGGCACTTTAGCTATTAGTAATCGTCTCATGTATTGCAATACACTACTCAAATAGTAGGTCTTTAAATTTTTCAAATTTTACAACAAATCTGATCATTTGATGTTTTTCCTTGACCAAATATTGGTAAATTCACATTGAGAATTAAATCTAATACGTGCACATCCAAGAAAAATAATTGCAAGAGCAGAATTTGGCTTGGTTTGTAGGTTATTGAGCTCTATGCGG